AAATTATCGAAAATTATCAAAAATTCAAAAATCCGAATATATTAAAATTCAACATTTTTTCCTCTCTTTTATGGGATTCAGCTTCATTATTTTTGTGCTTTTGGAAAATACTTTACTTATTTAATAGTCTCGACTCTTTGGTAAAAAATAAAAAATTATCGAAAATTATCAAAAATTCAAAAATCCGAATTTCTTAAAATTCAACATTTTTTCCTCTCTTTTATGGGATTCAGCTTCATTATTTTTGTGCTTTTCAAAAATACTTTACTTATTTAGTAGCCTCGACTCTTTGTTAAAAAATCTAAAATTATAGAAAATTATCAAAAATTCAAAAATCCGAATTTCTTAAAATTCAACATTTTTTACTCTCTTTTATGGTATTTAGTTTTATTATTTTTGTGCTTTTGGAAAATACTTCCACATAACTAAAAAATATTCTAACTAAAAAAATGTGACAATTTTTTCTTTTCTTTTAAAATAAAATAGAGAGAAAAGAGAAACCTACCTAACAATTTTAGATTTTAATAATTTAAGGGCATAAAAAAGGGGAAAAGAAGAAGAAAAAAAAGTGAATTATGTACAAAAGTGACCCAACCGTGATCCCTGTTATTAAAGAAGAAAAGCGATTTTTCTCTCGAAAAAAATTTGTAACCTAATTAATTCTCGAGAATAAATTAAACGTTTAAAGAAATAAAAATATTAGTGCAACTTGGTATCGTCCTAAAAAGAAAAGAAGGTATGTAGAATGTTCCGCACTTTCGAAAGATCTCTTCAAGACAGTGAGAATAAGCTTTGAGGGACCTATTAACGAGAGACTCCCTGCAGATCTCGCAGCAGGTTCCAATCAGGCCTTAGGTCCAATTCTTTATATATACACCGAGACTTATTTTATGTAAAGTTCGCGGCCGCCAGAATCAATTAGTTGTCCATTCTCTATTGTAACTTTCTATTGGCGATTAGCAAAACTACTTTTTTTCACATCGTATTTTTATAACATCATTCCCATAGGAGCAATTAATTAAAACACATGTTCCTTCACACTTTTGAATATATGCCTGAAATAATATTATATAAATGAAGTTTCCTTAAATGTTGAAGAAAAAAGAATTTTTGTTTGAATGAATAAATAAAAAATAGAGTGCGCAATAAAGAAGAAGAAGAAGAGGAATAATTCGAAAAAACGAAACAAATAGTAATTGTTTACAGATTTGCAAAACTTCTGGGAATTGCGACCACCATGTCACTGGCTCGTGCCACAAAGATACCAATATAAAGTAAATAAAATACCAAAAGCGTGGGTCAAACTTGCGTGCGCCTACCGAGCTCTTTCGAGAATTCAATGCGATCTTATCATAACATTCCCGTCGCAACCACTCTTCCCGCAGTGAAGATAATCTGTGATTTAGTGAGGAAGATGAAAAGACAGAAGAGAGAAGAATTAGAAGAAAAAATAAAAAATGGAAAAAAACAGAATTTCTTTTTTTTTCGCATGCCTATCGTTTATTAGCCCCCAGGCTTCGTACTCGATAATTAATTTACAAAAAGAAGCGTTAAAACTGAAAATAAATAGTAAAAACGTAACTATATTAAACAATTGAATTTGACAACTAAAAACTCGTTTTCATCGATTCGGAAAAATCATAAAAATTTGATTCTATATTTCCCTGACTTTTTTCTGATTTCCATGAAAAAGTATTCGCTTTTCTTCTTATCTTGGTACGAAATGTTTCTAAACTTCAATTATTTTCTAAATTTTTAGTTGAAATTCTTCAAAAATACAATCTTTAAAAATAATTTTTGAAAATATAGAAATAAAATTCTTAAAAATATAAAATTTATTTCAATTTAATGCGACAATATTTTGAATTAAGTGGAATTATTATTTAATTTTTACGAGAATTTAAAATTCTAAAGTTCTGAACATTCAAACAAACGAAATTGATTAATTTCTTCTTCAAATTAAATTTTCATTACAATAATTCTGTGTCTTTAATAACTTAATAGAAAAATTATAAATTACCAATTTTTTAAATAAATATTCAAATATTATTACAGTTTTGCAAAAATTAAATTTTGAAAGATTTCAATTTAAAAATCATCAGAAATTTAATTATTTCTATAAAAATTCATAATATAACGCTTTTAATATTCAATTATTATGTAAAATATTAATTGAAAATCATTTTTAAATTATTTCTTATTAGACCGTTTCACAAGAATTCATTTACATATTTAAATACAAAATTAAATAATTGATAGAATACATAATTATTTCTTAAAATTGAATCTTCATAAAGAATGTTATCAATTTTTTTGAAAATTATTGATTTCATTCGTAGAATTGAAAAAAAAATTTTAAAAAGAATTATATTTTTTCGGAAATTTATTTAAAAGTGTATTAAAGATAATTGTAATCCAGCAAAAATTTTATTATTTATGACAATAATTGAATTATTTCAACGAATTTTATTAAAAATGTTAGTATATAAATGAATTCCTGTAAAAAATTTTCTATTTGTCAAAATAATTAAATTTTTGTAAGGAATTTTATTTACATTTTTGAAAATAATTGAATTTTTTAAAGCATTTTTTTAACTGATGAAAATAATTTAATTCTTCCGAGGAATTTAATTACAATTGTGCTAAAAATAATTGAATTCTAGCCAAGAATTTGTTTGTTTATGACGATAATTGAATCCCTGACAAGAAGTTTATCAAAAATTTTTTTAAATAATTGAATTTCTGTGAAGAATTATATTTAAAAATTATTTAAGAAATTTAATTAAAATTCTATTGGAAAATAATTTAATTCCTATTAAAAGTTTTTACAAAATTCTTGAAAATAATTAATTTTGTTCAAAGTATTCAATTATTTTCAAAAGTTTTAATAAAATACAGTGAAACAATTCAATTATTTTCTGAAATTTTATGCAAGAATTCAATTATTTTCAATAGAATTTTTACAAAATTTTGCAATGAATTCAATTTTTTAAAAATTGAAATAGAATTCTTCAAAAGCATTCAATTATTCTCAAGAATTTAAATGACATTCTGAATCAGAATTCAATAATTATTAAAAAAAAAATTTCGTTAAATTTCTTAATAGTTCTTGATTATTTTCAAAAATTTTAATAAAATTCTGCGAAACAATTCAATTATTTAAAGTTTAAATAAACATCTTTGAAAAAATTTAATTGTTTCAAAGAATTTTATTACTAATTTTTGAAAATAATTGATTTCTTTTGAACAATTTTAATAAAAATTTTAAAAATAATTATATTTTGCTTTGTAATTCATTTAACATTATATTAAAAATATTTTAAATCCTGCAAAGAATTTTTTTATTTATGAAAAAATAATTAAATTTTTGCCAGGAATTCTATTAGTTGTGATATAATTGAATTCTTGCGAAAAATTGTGTTAAAATTTTTGAAAATAATTAAATTTTATCAAAAATTGATTTAATTCGAAAAATATTCCTGAAAATTGTATTTTAAATAATTGAATTTCTATGAAAATTATATTATTATTTTTTTTAATAATTCAATACTTTTGAAAAATTTTATTCAAATAGTATAGATATTGAAAATAATTGAATTTCATGAAAGAATTTTATTGTTTGTAAAAATTATTGAATTTTTGCGAAAAAAATTCTTAAAACTGTTGAAAATAATAAAATCGTTTTAAAGAATTTTATTAAAATTTTTTTGAATTGTTTCAAAGAATTTTATTTTCGGTATTTTTTCAAGGACCTTAATTTTTGTCAAATACTGTCTGTTAATTGTGGCCTTAGGACCAAAGGACCTAAGGCCACAATTAACAAACAGTATTTGACAAAGAATTTTATTAAAAATTTTTTTGAATTTTTTCAAATAATTTCATTAAAATTTTTTTGAATTGTTTCTAAGAATTTTATTAAATTTTTTGAGAATGATTTGTTTATTTCAAGGCGGATTTAAAGTAGCTGTACATTCTCAATGAAAAGAAAAAAGTAGCTCTTAGTATCACAAAAATAATAAAAAAGTATCCAAATAGTAGCAAATGGTAAAAAAAAAGTAATAAATAGATTTAAGCAGACGAGTGCGAATTTATCCAAACGGAAAAATTTGAAGTACTATTACCAATTATCTTTCTAACAAAAAAAATCAATCGCTCACACTAAACTCTAAAGTCTTCAAGAAGTTTCAGATTCGAAACGAAGAATTCAACAACGAATATTTTAATATTTTAAGAATTAAAAAGATTGAAGAAAATCTTAATAGCCTACTATTTAATCTTTAATCCATACAATTATTTTTTTTTCATCTTTTTTTTTTAAAAAGGAGGAACTTGGTGGCCAAGTAGTTAATCATTGAATTGCAGGGGACGGACGTGTAGAGCCCTGTCAGCACTGCCGCCAAACTGCTGATTTACATCTGCATAAATCACTAGTTTTCGTGTGACTACCTTGCAGAATTCATAAGCTTCGTTTCGAGTCCGTTCAGAGACTGTTGAGCTTTCGGTGCTCCTTCAAAATGAAAGTTTTTAAGTACCTTTCGGTTCTTCGAGTAAACAAAATCCCCTGCATCAATTTCAACTGCTGTAAACTGTGATTTATTTCAATGATTCGAAAAATTTGCCCTAGGCTCTCCAATTAAAGCACAAATAAATCAATCAAAGATAAATATTAACCCAATGAGATATAAAAAAAAAAAAAGAGAAAAGAAGAATCTTCAGTATGCAGAATATCGACAAATAGAAAACACCTACGGCATATGCACAGGTGTTGGTAAGAGGAAATTTTATATTCCTATTAAATTTTTATGGACCAAAGTCCGCTAACAAAAATTTCATATAACTATTTTTCACTCCAGTCGGAGATTAAATTTCAAAACCTTCATTTTACTATAATTAATTAAATTTCTAAACTATATTAATTTAAAATTGATTTAAATTTAAAATTCATTGATTTTGATCAGTGAATTGTTAAAAAAGAAATTTCGTTTACAAATCGTACTCACTTCTCGTAGCGGAACCTTAAATGCAAGGATTTTCGTGCCTTGAATAACCTCTCCATAGGGTTTATATTGTAACCACCTAAAAAAAGAAATCAAATCAATTAAAATTGTAGAGATCATTTTTTCATAATATTTACTTCGTACTTTTCGTCACTTTTCAATTGAAACGAAAACAAAAACTAAAAAGTACGATTTCCAACTCGACTATACGACTCACAATTCCAGGAATGTCGATAAACTACCAAGAACATTTTATCATAAATATCTAAATTAATTAACTAAGCAACTATTATAATTTTATTCCTGAAAAAGAAATTTCGAAAATTAAAAAACAGTTATACCTTAGAAAAGCGTCACCTTTTCCTGAAAACGGAAACTAAACTCTTATGATTCACTTGATAAGGAAGTAAAAGTAAAAGCAATACCGCCAAGCGGCGTCGACATGTAAAATCACATAGACTGCATGTGATCAATTATTTCAGTAAAAAGGGTAAAAAGAATAAAATATCAATCCTATCAACCCCATTCAATCGTAAATGATTAAATATTGCTGGAATTGTTTTGCATTCGCAGTAAAAACACGTGCAAAAAATAAGCAAAATATTCCAACATAACCTCCAAAACAAGAACTTTCATTATCAATCAAAATGTTACATTTTTAAGATATCATTGAGAAGCCTTTATAAGTATTCTATAAAAAACGATTGATTCTTACCTATCTGGTATTGATTTCGACATTATTATTGTTTTCCTCTCAAATCTATTACAAAATTTGTTAAATTATCATCAACAAACAAGTCATTTACACACCACCGCTTTGCGGAACTACAGTGCGCTCCTAGCGGCAAAGACGGAAAGCTACTTTCAGTCCATAAACGCGTGGCGCGAATTTTCAAATTTTGCAAATTAATATAAAATATATAAAATGGAATATTGAAATTCTTTTTTATATTTTCTATATAAATGTTAAAAATAAATAAAAAATACAAACAAAATAATAAATATTGATGTACATTAATTAAAAAAATAAATACTACTTATTTAAATTCCATTTTTTGATTAAATTTCACACTAATGTAAATCAATTTTAATAAGTAATTATTAATTTAAAAATAATTCAATAAATAAATATATAACAAGAAATATAAATTAATAATTATGAAAATTAAAGATATTAATTTAAAAAAATAAAATTAAATAATAAAAATATTAATTATGAAATTTATAATACTAATTAAGAGAATTATTCATAAAGAAAATTTTATTAAATTAATTATTATTAATTATTTATTACTAGCAACTGTATACTAATTAACTAATTAATAATTATTATGTATATTATAATCAAAAACTAATAAAATTCTTCGCACGAATTTTATTATTTTAATAAATAATAAAATACCATTATTACCATTATTATTATTATAAATTCCATTATTATCAATATAATTTTAATTAAATTTGTCGAAAAAATTGTAAAAATTCAATTATTTTTTTAAATAATAAATTTCTTTACAGGAATTCAATTATTTTAAATCAATTTTAATAAAATTCTATAAAAGAATTGAATTATTTTCTATATAATTTAAATTAAATTCGTCGAAAAAAATTGCAAGAATTAAATTATTTTAAAAAATTGTTTTGAGGGAATTAAATTATTTTTAATACAATTTTAATCAAATTTCTAGAAAGAATTCAATTATTTTTATAAATATAAATAAATTAGTTAATTAAATTAAATGTTTCTCAGGAATTCAATTATTTTGAATAAAATTTTAATAAAACTTTTTCGCATGATTTCGATTATTTAAAAAAATTCTATTTTTAATAAAGTTCTTCGAAACAATTCAATTATTTTCAAGAGTTTAAATAAAATTATGTCTAAAAATTCAATTATTTTCAAGAATTTTAATAAAATCTTTTATAAAAGTTCAATTATTTTTTAAACAATTGTAATTGAATTCCTCCAGAGAATTTTATTATTTTCAAAATTTTCAATACAATTTTTAATTGAATTCTTGGAAATAATTTAATTACTTTCAAAAATTCCTATAAAATTTTTCAAAACAATTCAACAATTTTCAAAAATTTAAATAAAATTCTAATGGAAGAATTAAAAGTATTTCTGATTCAAAATTATAAAAATTTATCAAAAGTATCGTCTTTTACTGTAAAAAAAGTCACAAAAGAAAACAAAATTAAATTAAATTTTTTTTTGCATTAATATGATCACAAAAGTGATACGCATTTTCTAAAAATCAATTTTTTAATTCTTCATAGAACAAGATATTAAACAAAATAAAATTCAATTTTTCTCAGAAAATAATTTTTCAAAACATCCCTATTTTTCATTAGAAAATTATTAACATATTTCTGAACGAAATAATTAGTGAAGTAAAAGAAAAATAATTAATATTTTTAATATTAAATATTGTAATGCAAGAGAAAGATTTTGCAAAGTTTAAATAATATTCCACCTCATTTTTATTTAATATTTAGAATATTAAGCGAAGTCGAAGTATTGTCAATATCTCAAAAATTTCGAAGTAATTTCAGTCTTATTTACACATTAAAAAATGCGGTTTATAAAAAATATTTGTCACATTACTGAGCAAAACCTAATTTCTCAGTTAATCTTCTAATTATGTAAAATATAAATTGCGATCAATTTATTTACCTTCTTGTAAAATGTAAATATTAAAATTATTAAAATCTCTAAAAATATATATTTATCTACAGTTAAATAACCGATATGTAATAAATTACGAATCAACTTTCTATTACGAATAACTCTTCCTCTGAAACTTGAACTAATTAAATTTAAATTCCATTGTTTAACAAATTGATGGAATTGATTAATAAATAATATAATTAACTTTTTAGTAATTTTTACCCCTGAGTTGAAGATTTCATCGTAACTTTTTTAAAAATAATTTCTAATCTAACTACAGCCATGGATACCAATACGGATCCATTTGGCAAAGATTATCGACATTCCTGGAATTATTTAAAAAATTTCTTACATTGCTGTCAATTCCACTAAAATGACCAAGGGAATTTAGTCTCGTTGAAATACTTGTGACAACTTCAATCACTCGTCGTATTATTTCTTTATTCGTTTCCACAAATGTTGTGTCCACCGATTGATTCACACGGTCCTCGGAAAATTCATCTCTAATTATTGCTTGGAGGAGAGATTTTATCTGATAAGAAGGTTGCGCCAAACAGCGAGCACTGGCTATTATATTTTCTCTCAAAGGTCCTGATATGCCTAAATAAAAATTAAAAAATAAGTTAAATAGTTGGAGAATTTAAGCTTTTTTATTTAATATTGTCAAGTTTTATTCAAGTTTCAATAGATAGTAATTTAATTTATATTTATAAATTCTAATAATTTTTTTGTAACTTACCAATGTCAGTGACGAATTCAGCGATATTTGGTGTTAAGCGAAATGGAACCAGTTCATTCAAACCCAATTTTCCTACAGCTTCATGAAGATCAAATGTAAAATAGTTGACGTTTATTATTCCAGAGTCGAGATTTAAATTCATCATGTCAGGACACAGTTTAGTAAGATGAAAGACGTATTGTGAGAATACAACCAAAGAAATTTGAGAGATGAACTGCAAAAATAAACGAGACATTAAAAATATAGAAAATAAAAAATTCAATAGATTTTAAGATTATTTATTTTTAATTTGCGATTTTAATCCTAAATTTTACCAGAAAATCACCATTATTCAAAATTTCAAGAGAAAATACTAAAAGTGTTGTGACACAAAATTAAAATGAATAGAAAATTTTTTAATTAATTATAATATCATCATTATTTTAAATTTCAAAAGTCCTAAATTTACAGAGAAAATACTAACAGAGTTATGACAAAAAATTAAAATGAATAGAAAATTTTTAAATTATAAAATCACCATTTTTCTAAATGTCCAATAATCCATCGAACTCGGAAAAGTTGTCACAGCCCAATCTTTGAGAATTGTCTTTGGAATGAGATTTTTTTGCACTTCTTTGAAAATTGACATCAAATTTTCCATATTAACTCCTTTGCGTCTTGCTGCAATACTTGAAATTAATTCATAATACTTCGAAATAGGAGCATTAGGCAAAATATTCCTTTTTTCGCAATTTTGCTTATAGATTTGCAAAATATCGATTGCATTTGGATTATCTTCGATGAGTTGCACGTGAGGATTCAGTGGAATCATTTTTGGAATCGTAAATTGCAAAAAACGTCGACAAGTTTCTTTCTGCTTTTGCAAATTTAAATTCAACATTTGCAGCAATTGCAAAACACGATAATTTCTATTAAAATCGATAAATTGATCATTCGACACTATCAAGTAGACATAGGGTTTTCCATCACTTCCCAAAATTGAAATTCGATGAGCTATTGAGAATTTGTGTTGAATCACTTCTACCCAAGGCATGAATTTCACTATCGTCACCGGATAGTGAGAAAACTGAAAAAAATTAATTTATATTAGAATTTAAAAAAATGTTAAACTTTTAGAAATTTAGTTATTATTTAAAATTGTAACTTTTTTCAACTAAAATCTTTTTTAAGTTAATTGAAGTTAATTACATAGCTTTTAAAAAATTATTCCAGATTTTAATTAATTTAAACAAATTTAATTATTTATAGAAATAAAATACAAAGTTTCCTCATGAGAAAGCAAAAATTTAAGGCAATGTTTTAAAATTTATTGCGCGATTTAAAATAATTAAGATAGAACAAAAATTCAAAGAGAAATTAAATTTTCTGTTTTTCAAAAATATTTTTAGACACCAAAAAACAGAATTTTTGTAAAAATTTTTGGAAGTTTGTCATTTTTTTAGTAGTTTTGATAAAATTTCCTAATTTTTCCCTAAATTTTCTAATTTTTCTGATTTGTGTCAACCCTGAATTTATTTATTTTATTTTTTATCAATTGTTAATTAATTTATTGGTTTAATAAATAAATTAATTAATTTTATTAGTAAATTGTACCTTTGGTAAAAGAGTTGAGCCAGGAAGTCCAATTTCTGCATTTTGAAAATTGAAATTCGACAAAGATTGACACTTCTTCTCAAGTAGGAAAGATCTGTAAAAAAACAATCAATAAAATTACAATTATTTAAAAAATTGTATTTAAAATTAAATTTGTCAAATTATAAATATCCCTAAAGTTTCGAACGTTCGAATGAATATTTTTACTTCTTTTAATTTGACATTCATTACAAAACATAGTTTTTTTTATAATTCAAAAATTACTTTTTAATTAAATAAATATTTAATTTTACAATATTTTTCATTTCAGTCTTCATTAAAAAAAAAATTTCGTTCATTTGAAGGTTCAGAATTTTAGTTAAATAACGAAAGAAAAAATAATGTAAAAAATGTAATAAAGATACAAATAATAATAAGAAAAAAAAATTAAAATAAAGATAATTTAATAAAAATAAAGAAAAAATTACCTCAACGAAGCTTTAGTGTTATTTTCCAAAATTACAATCCACTTTTTTAATCTCTTTATCAGATTCATCAATAATTTGTCACTTGAACTATCGAGCTTGAAATCTTGCTCGAATTCCTTATTTATTTTTCCAAATATTGAATATTCTCCAAAATTTGTATTCTGACTGAAAATTTTTTCCATTTCCACACGAACATTCGCTGTTAATTTTCCAACATGATGAATTATTTCTTGAGTACATGCAACTTCATTGATATTCTCCTTATTGTCGAAAGCAACACGATAACTTAGGATTAAAATTTCCTGCAAACGTTTCACTACCCCATGTAACCAATTTTCTTTAAACATCGAAATCTGATCAAAAGTTCTCTCCAAATACGATAACAATTTTGGATAAATCAACAGAAGTCTTCTCATTACCTGCGAGCATTTGTTAATTGATTTTAAAATTTCTTTTTCCCTCTCTAGATTTCTCTCTGAATTGTCGTTATTAGAAAGATTTTTATTATTTAATTTCTTAAATTGAAGTTCCATGTAAAGAGTCCATAATTGCGAGTAGATTGGTTGTGGAAATATTCTGCTGATAATATTCAGTAAATCGATAATTTCACCACCAGGAGGACGAAGCAACCATTTTAATAATTGCGGAATAAATGAGACCCAATTAACCGGATAGATTTCCGCCGAGAGTCTATTGACTGATTTAAATAAATTCATTTCCTCGTCATCGTAATTAAGCAACCAGAGAATTTTTGCAATATATTTTCTGCATTTTTCGTTTTTCTCCTCGCCGGAATACTTGAGGGCGTTTAGAAAACAAGAGACAGCCGACTTTGTATATTCTGTTCTTTCTGTATTGGTCTGAAAAACACTCTCAAAATATTCACCCCACAATCCCCAGGCATTGGAATTCTTCTCGTTTATTTTAATCGATTTGGAGAAAATTTGGTTTGCTTTGTCTGACTCCCCAAAAAGTGTGTACAATTTTCCCTTTAGTGAATAGAAATCAGAGGTGATTTTCTTTTCGAAATATTGCGTTTCAATTGATTCCATGCAGTCGAGAGCATTTTTTAGACGATTCTCTTCTCCGTGGGTGAACATTTTCAGGTAGCATTTCACCTGTTGTTTGATTCTCTCGAAACAATCGGTTATGGGAATACTTTCAATTTTATGAATTCTAGTCAGTGAGTCAAGAGCGACTGATGAGAGATTTTGCTTTCTGGCTATTTTACTAAAATTATTGACAGACTGAGCCCAGGTGTGAATATAGTATTTTAGTGTTTTTTCCTTCGGTATCGAAGTTGCGAAAGCAATTAATGATTTGTATTGATATTCTCGCCAGATGAAGATATTTGACCAGTGACTGAGATCGTCAGCAATTGTCGGCACTCGTTGTGTCCAGGTGTAGATTATTTTCCTCAAGTTCGCCGTTTGATTGGGGTCCAAATTCTCGTGGATAAATTTCGCGTCACGTAGATCGGCGATTTTTTCAGCTGCCTGAAGAAGAGAAAAGTGGGAACGAGAGATGAGTCTAGGGAGTTTTTTCCACTCACGAATGCATTGTTTTGTTGCGTTAGAAATGTGTTCGTCGATGAGGGGCAAATTTTTCTCCTCGCCATTAGTGGATAGATAACCACGATAGAGCTCGATTTTCCAGAGTTGATCGGACGGGATGTCTTTGTTAATCTCGAGGTATTCCTTCATCGTGGACCAGTCGGAGGTCAGGAAGCAAATTTCGAAAATAAATAAAGGATCATTGAAGAGTTCAGTTTTACCTTTGTTTAGAAGCAAGTCCCATTGGTTCAGCTCCTTAGCACAACGAATCCATCGTTTCTCCCATAGTTCCGATTCGCTTTGCATTTTTTTCGAGAGGGAAACTGTTAGAAGATCCGTTCGAAGTTTTTCCACTGCTATCGAATAGGTTTCTTGTGCTTCCTTCAAAAAACCCTGTTGCTCGAAGGCTATCGCATCAACTGTCTCCTTGTAAATAGAATGCTTCTGCCAAAGTCCGGACCACATGTCATCTTCTTCCAATCTGCTGTACAAATCTGTCAAGGAGTCTAGAATTTCAAGACAGTAATTCGTATCCGAGTCATCGAAATCAAAAAAATTATTCTCCTGAATTTGGAAGCACTTTTCCTGGTCCACAATCATTTCTTCAAGTCTCAGTGTCATTTGATGCCAAACATTGAAAGTTTTTCCCAAATAATTAATAATTCTCGGTGTTTTCAAAATTTCCGGTTCACAACCAACAAGAGCTTCGCAAAAAGTAACTATCGCACTGGGTTGACAATCCTTCTGTACCAAATGACTTTTGTCACAAAGAAACGGAGTTAAATCAATCTCTCCACTCCAAATCTGAGGAAAAATATCCTTCCAAACATCAGCAGCAAGACTCGATTCCTTGTGGCACAATTGTATCGTCGCTGATAAAAATTCTTCCGTTCTTATACTCTTCAGATAGTCGAGAAACTTGATGTGCTTGTTAATAAATTCCGTGAGTTGAGGATTAATTTCTGAAGCGCCGGGAATATTTTCATCCAACTCGGGAGTTTGGAGTGTATCCAAAATATCAGTATCTAAAATCGTTAGGTTCATATTTGAATTCCCCTCCGTATTCCCCTCAATTATGTTCATATCAAAGAGATTTGTGTTTGGATCAAAATACGAGAGATCAAAATTCGAGAGATCTAGATTCATGTCCAAATTCGAGAGATCTAGACTCGGGTATAAATTAAATAGTTCCATATTGTAGTCGTCGTCATTCAATAAATCCAAATTCGATTCATCAACTTCTGAATTCAAAAGATCAGCCGTTGATTTTAGGTTCAATAAATCGACATTTGAATCTAGTTTCGAGAGATCTACACTCGATTCCAATTTCGAGAGAGCTTCGTTCAAATCCGATAAATTCAGACCTGGGTTTTCATCGTCCTTTATGGAGAACTTAACACTTGGTAGAAGAATATCTTGTGTCACTTGAATTCTAGTCGTCGGATCGACAACAATCAACACGAACTCGACACACTGTTTGATCCAATAATGTCTTCCCATCAATTGCCAATTGATTTCAGAAATATACCTCAATCGATCCTTGACACTTCGTTCAACTCCAGCGTTCATAATTTTCGAAAATTTGATTCTCGTATGCGGTTGCGATGATCGTAAACCCTCCAAGAAGGCAAGTTCCAAATCAGTCGATAATTTTACATGTCGATAATTTCTGTTCTGATACATCAAGCACAGAACATCGAGGAAATTATTCCTCAAATCCAAATCTGCAGGGAAGTTCTGAATCTTTTTCCACATCTTGATGAATATGGGGAATTTTTCACTAACTAAATTCCCTTCGTCCTTTACCCAATTTTTCAGTAACTTGATAATAATTCTAATAATTTGTAGATTGGGAGTGTTGTCTATTAAAACACCCAAAGATGTCAGGAATTTTCTTCTATTATTCGTCGACATTACTTCGAATCTATTGGAAAGTATATCGAGAAAGGTGAGTAATTCCGTTTCCTCTTTTTTTGCACCAACACCAGCTAGATGAAATCGTGATATTTTCTGAAAAACCCCCAAGAGATTAGTTAACACCGGATCTAGATAACCAGCATTGTTGAGGTAGACAGTTTTCGCTATCATTACACAAGGAGCTAGTGAATCGATCCCCGCTTCGTTTCTTTCGAAACCAGTTAATCTTTCCCTGAAAACTACTCTCACGAATTTATAAAAAAGTTTCATTTTTTCGTCACGTGTTTCCTTCGTCAAAATTGGATCAATCGGAAATATTGTTAACAAATTACTCAGAATTTCCTGCAGGTATTTGAGAATTTTTCTATCATCACTCGAGAGACACATTGTCAATCCACTTTCAAGTTTGGTAAAAATGTGAAGATTTGCATTTTCACCAAGTCCTCGTACAAGAAAGATCAATAGTTCCAAAATTCGGTAAATTTTCTCCGAATCCTGCTCTGCGAGGGTTTTATTCATCCATGAGAAATCGACATTTCCGTCTTTTACCCAAACTTCGGAGGAGTAAGTCCTTTTGATAAGATTTGCCGAACGTTTTACAAGTTGTTCTTCCATTATTCCTTGCAATGTGTTAACATCATGAACTTCGCATGTCAATTTTAGGATGAAATTCAATATTTTGTCGATGTAGAAATTTCCCAATCGTTTTATCGGTTGGGGTTCTAGGGTCGTGAATAGAGGAGTATTATTCTGTAGGACAATTCGTCGAAATCCTGATGAGCCTTCGTCTGGGAGTTGATTACTCGATTCAATGCCGACGACATCAATAATACTTGTTTCTTCACTTTTCGCCTGAATTTCCCACTCGATGATCGTCTCCGCAATGTCAACCGCCAATTTCTTGCTGTCGATGGTAGAAATTTCCGTTATCTTCTTTATAGAATTGACTAGAATCGGAATTAGATGGTAACGCACCGAATAGTAGACTTTGAAATGCTTGACTACGAATTGAAGACAGTGGGACAACGAGTACCTGGAGTGGCTCTCTTCAATCAAGACTTTTCTCGTCAATTGTGCGAGTTTGCTGTAGCCACTTTCCATTCGATGGGGAAAAATTGGAATCAAAATATCTAGAGCCTCTTTCACGACATGTTTCGTTTCTATCGAGTGAGCCTGCATAAGACTGAGAAAAACGTGGACAACAATACTTTTCGAAACGGAAAACTTTCGAATTATGTGGCTCAACAATAAATGACCATGATACTTGGTGATCGGATCGACACAATTTTTATTCAAAAGACAAGACCATGCGAAATATACCAATGTTTTGAGCTTTATTCCATGATGTTTGATATTTACATCGTGAATATACTCTCCAGCGTGATCAACCAATAAGCAAGCGAAACGAAAAATGCCCACTCGCAAACGATCACCAAGTTCACCAGGATTATCGATATCAATCACTTTGTTAATAAAAATCGAAATCAAATTTCTAGGATCGTCCGTATTTGGAGATGGTGGTGTTCCTATTATCTCGAAAACTTCCTTTTTCTTGAAACTCGCCTCAAAACACTTGTAAACGATATTATGTAAAATATCCGCCTTCAATTCGTCACTCACTCTTTTACCTTGAAAATTGTAGATGAATTTCGAAAAAGCTGTTCGTTTCCACTGAATATGATAAGTTTGTGCAATAACTTTCTCTATAAAATCACTGAGCATCGTGACATTAGAAACGAAATTTATACGAAAAATCTTGAGGATATTGAAAAGAAAATCAAATTCTTCTGGATTTTTTTCTAAATAGTGAATGAAAACTTTCAGTAATATCTCTGGTTCCACTAAATGATTGGATTTTACATTCTCAATGTCCTTGTGATAATTTATATACTCATTTTTGTACCAGATTTGCTTGATGACGGTGATGAGTTGAGTTTGGGTGGTGAACCAATTTTCATCGTAGTCTATCAAAATTGAAACAAGTCGTATAGCTCGAAATCGAATTTCCATTTTTTCTTCTTTAGCCAAATGGAGATCGGGTTGTTGTGGAGCGAGAAACATTTGCATCAGACGAATTGATCTACTCTTTAGTGTTTCTTTAAAAACTTCCCCTTGCTCTGAGTTTAGAAGAAATTCCAAAAATAGTCCATATTCCTCACAGCGTACACTGTTGTGATTCAGTAGAAAATCCACAGTATCCGATGGATATCGTGATAAATAACGAGTGAAAGGAACTTTAAATGGATTTTGAATCTGATTCATAAGATCCTTTTCTGATTGCAAAAAAAATCGACAGAGAGTTGGGATAAATTTCTTCAGATCTATGGTCGTTTTTTGAAAAATTTGAAGTATGGTCAAAATCTGTTGTTGGATGACATTCGAGTTTGTAATGATGATTCTTTTCTCTTCCGTATTTTTTCGTCTTGATTCTTCCAATGTTTGCCTTTCCGCTTCTGTGGATGATTCTGCCTCTGGTTCTAGTAATTTTTTTTCCAGTTCACGTATTTTATTCTCCAGGTCTTTTTTTATTTCTTCTTTTATTTTTCTATTCAAGTATTCAGTTTTCAAATTTTTGAAACAAGTGCCTAAGTATAGAATCAAACTGTTACAGAATTGATAATTGCTGGTGGGGAAAATTTCCACAAGGTATGAAAAATAGGTCAAGAAATTGAGATCTATCGAAGTCTCTTTAGCGAGAATTTTTTTCACTGGTTCAAAAAATAATCCTTTCATTTTTTCGCTGATTGGTATTTTTTTCAAGCACTCGAGAGCAGTTTCCTGAAGTTCGATTTTTTTTAGTGCACTGATGAAAATTGTGATTACATTCTCCTGGAGAGTTTCTATGGAATAGAAGTGAATGATTGTTCGAAGAGCGGTCGTTTTCAGGGGAATGAAATCAGAGAGATCTTTGTAACAAGGTTCTCTTAGTAGTTGATTGTCTTCTCTTTCGATAATCTGGACAAGATCTTCGTAAAAAGACTTGTGTTCTAACAACGATATATCGAGGACGAATAAAGAAGTGAACGATAGAAAAAATCCGTTCGCGTCGATTATTCCAATTTGATCTTCAATCGGATGACGGACCATGTGAATCTTCATTGGAGGAACTAAATCTGCGACTATTTCTCTGTGAGGACGAATCATATCGGTTAGAGGCACTTTTCGAAGCTCTGCTAAAAGAGAGAGTAAATTCATAGCTTCTTTTCGTAAAATCGTGCGTGGGGATGAGACAAACAGCATTAATTCTCGAACCACTCGATCGGTCTCATTCTTTTGAACTTCATAAACTGTCAGGTGTTCGTTTTCAAATTCGGAAGTAAGTGTTGTTTCTAAATCGGAATTTTTCTGCTCGAAGCAAACTCGAAGTAGTTTGTTTAAATTTGCTTTTGCTTCGCCGATCGTTCCGCTACCGATTCCTTCGTTCAAATCTGAGATTACGAAGCAAAGAGCTTTGACGAAAGGAAGGAGATGAGTGAGAAGCCACTTGAGGGGCATTTTTTGGATTAAAAACTCAATCACCATGCAGCCACCAAGCTTTGAGTACCAAGGATTCTCATAGCAGAGAGAAGTCAATTTCTCGAATAAATATTCCATGAAGGGAAGTTGACAGACTCTTTGCAGGGAACCAACGATTGAGGTCGCGGTCTTTAGAATAGTTTCCAGAACATTGGAGGCGACTTTGAAGAATTCCTTTTTCTCGTACTTCAAAATATCCTTGAGGGCATCGATCAGAACGAGAGGATTTTGGAAAATTTCCCTCTCAGCTTTGTATTTATTTTCTTCCATTACATTTGAGCAAACTTCTTGGGCAACAAAAATCATCGTATAGTGTCTTACATACGAGAGCATTGTCTCAAAGACCGGCAAATTAGAATCCAGGGACGTTTCTTCCGCAGCTGCGATAAAGAGTCCACTTAAGGCAATTTTCTGAATTTCCTTCGCCGCCAAATCTTCCTTAACGCAGCACGAAGTAGGGAAAATTTCTTCCTTGAATCTCGGATGATTGAACAAATTGATCAACGTTCTTTTATCATCTTCTAATTTCACAGTAGCCGACAAGTAAGAATTAATCACTTTCCAAGCTTGTTGTTTGTAAAATAAATCAGAAGTTGAATTAAGAGTTGAATAAGCTGTCTCAATAATTTTTTTCACAGACAAATTTATCTTTACCGAATTCTCGAAGCTGACCCGAACACTCGGATAAATCTCCGAATTAACAAATCGTAACTTCTGCGGATTTATCAACACTTTTCTACTCTCCCCGCCAAGTTTTCCCAGAATTTCAAAAGCTTTCTGAGCTAACTCCTCTTTTGATTCCCGTACAATCCTAAAGAGACTCTCAATCAAATCAGTGGCAACAATCTGCAGGTAGTCTTGCGAAAAAGAAAAATCAACACTATTGATACAAATATCCAGAATTTTCAAACCATCACCAATTAAAACATCATTTCCATTCAAGGCGTGAACAATCGTAATCATCAATTTTTCAAAATATGGTAAAAGAAAACCAATTCTCACCGGTATTGAAAGAAACAGCTCAAGTACAATTTCATGTATCTCCTGCTTATGAAACTCCGTTTGAAATCTATTTAAATCCTCGATTAATTTCGACAAAAGAGGAAGAAATTCCTGATATAAAATTTCCTGCGTCCCACCGCTTATCGATCGATAAAGTGCTCGTAAAATAAGAAAATAATTCAAAGGCTCCTTCGCATTCACAGCAAGATCCAATGAGCGTTTAACAATTTTATGAAGATTCGAACGAAGAATCTCTCTATTCTCCTCGGGAGAGAATGCAACACTTCCAAAAATCGTCTTAAATAAAGTTAGATACAAATCACTTATTTCCGGTTTCGATCCCACTTGATCCATTTTCTCCAAAAGATATTCAATCATAATATTTCCGAATACCAACGATTTTCCCGGATCCAAAAGAAGATAATTTATAATTGCCAAATAGTCCCTATTCCCAATCACTTGATTCACGATAAAATCAATTTCCCCAGTAAATATTGTCTCAAACGTCAATAAATCCATTGACATAAAAATTGTTGCAAAACATTTTACAAGTTGCTTTTCCTCCTTTAATTTCGTCTCATGAAACTGAATCAACTTATTAGTCTTCTTTGGTATCGCGTCCATTGCCAAACGACCAATTGTATAAAGATTAAATGACTTCATTCCCCATTTGAAAAATCGTAAAAATAACAAGACATCGGTCCATTCAAATTGTTTCGTGAATTTATCACTGAAATTAAAGATCACAATTTCCTTCACTCCAAGTATAATCCATCGGATAATATTTTTGTACTCCACAATATTTTGATGTAAATTTTGCGAAGTTTTGGTGAATGTTTTAGCACTCGCAAAAATTGGAATTACATCCTTAACAATTGTTTCTAATTTCAAGACAAAAACCTCGAGTATTTTCTGTAAAAGTTTTCGTCCTTTAAAATAATCTTCAGATTCAGATCGACTTATCACGCACTGAATGAGATTGTTAAGAAGTTTACAGGATAGATTTTCAATATTCACTGGTAATCGTGCGTCGTTGAGTAGTCTACTGAAAAAATTTACAACCCTCGTAAGATGAGAGAAAGAAAGTACGTTTCGTACCTGATGAATAAAATCTGCAATTACGTTGAAAGCGAATGATCTTAATGTCTCGTTGGCCGTAAAACCGGAACCGAATAAAAGCTCTTCGTCCAATAATTGATCAATGTGGGAAATAAATTGTCGTTGGAATTTAGAGAGAATGAGATAGCGAAAATAGATGAATATCTCTTTACGAAAATGTGTTGCTTCAGTGGGACAGGCACGTAATAAATCCACCACTCCTTTAAATAAAGTAGCACTCGTTTCAAAAATTATATCGATAAAATCCTTTATATTATAAGAAACAAGCATAAGACACTTGACCTGTAGACCAACAAACTCATACAGAATTTCACGATTGCAATCTGGAATTGGATCACAAGTCTTCAAAGTAATTAAAGTCACAAGTAAAGAGACAATTTCCATAATAATTTCCCCAGTCTGTTGTTTATATAACGAGCGTAAAGTAATCAGAAACGAAGGAACTTTCTGCAGAAACTTCAATGATAATCTTGTCCTCGGTATCAAATTATAAGTAATTAAATTTCCATCCTCGTCCTTTTGGTTCGTATGAATAGCAGTTACAATATACGTTTTTGCCAATGATGATTCAATATTTAAATTCACCAAATTCCTTATTGTTATAGAAGATTTTGCTTGAATTACATCCACAAAATTGTTTGTAAATTCAGTGTACATTTTCTTGACAAATTCCAAAAATTGTAAAACTTCCTTAATTGATGTTGGTTTATATTTTTTTCTATACTCCGACATAATTTGCAAACATATTAAACTATTCTCCTCATTATCAATTTCCAGTAATTGTAAAGTAATTTTCAAAACGTCTGACACGTACGGTTTAAGGTATTCGTCCGTTGGGAGTCGATATAAAATTTCTAGAATCACTTTCCTTGTTTGATGAATACTGTACTCGGAGATAAATTGTATTGTCCCTTCAAGTAGAATTGGTTTGATAATTTTCATAAATCTTGCGAGAAATATTGGATATTGCGGTAAGAGTACAATGATATCGAGACTTTCGGATATTTCCAGAGCTGATCTTAATTTGACATCGTTTCCTTTACTGGCATCTCCCAAACAATTCACATATACGAGGTAGGTATTTATTTGGGACTTGAGTGCCGTTCGTGCCACATTGTTCAAACGGTCCATTTTTATTTTCCTGATAGAAGCCAATTGTGTTGAAACCTAAAAAAAAGTAAATGTTAAAGTTCATATTCAAATAGACAATTGGTAAATAATTTGATTATCTTTCAAGAACTTGGTAAAAACTAAATGACAGGCCTCGGATCGAATTTTTCGATTAAAAATACAAAAAAAGTCGAAAAAGTCGTTTATTTAATGTCACAAGAATTTTTTTTTGTATTCTCCTGTTTTTCCCATTACACTGATTTCTAAATTAAATTTTTCAAAACTTGAATAATTTTTTTAAATAAATATTTAAATATTTATTAATTGTTTTTTCATGGGAAATAAAATTAGAAAAATTTCAAATTCAAGCCTTCGGAAATTTATTAATTTCTTAAAATTACAATTATAAACCCTTCCAAAATAAAATTCTTTTCTACAATTTTTAACTAAACTTCATTTCCAAATCAATTATTTTTAATTTTTCTTCCAATTTTAAATATAAAAATTCAATTTTCCACAATTATTGTAACTGTAACTGTTATGGTTCTTTTTTTTATAAAAGTTATTAAGATGAATTACTGAAAATATTCAACCAAAAATGTTGAAAGTGACTGATTTTTAAAAAATTATAATAAAGAAATTCTTAGAATTAATTTTTTAAATATATTTTAAAATAATTTTTGAAAGTTTATAGGTTTTTAATTTATACAATTGAAAAATTTCCAAATAATTGAAATTTGGTAAAATATTTTAAGAATAATTGAATTTTTGAAAAATATAAAAAGAAATAATAAAATTTTTATGAAGAATTATAATTTTAAAAATGAACATTACCTATTTTTCCAAAATTTTAAAAAGTCCGAAAAAGGTAAATTTTTAAAAATTTTAATTTATTTTCTACGAAGATAATCATTCTCGAACAAAAATAAATATAATAAAAATTAATTTTAAAAAATTACAAGGAAAAAACTCTGTAAGTATTACTTTTTTCAAAAATATTTTAATATCATTTTTAGAGGCTAATTTTTATTAATTTTCTTATTTATAAATTTTCACTTGAAGATTTTTCATTGCAATTTTTGATAATTCAATTATTTTCAAAACTTGCAATTAAAACTCCCCAAAAGTTGATTTTCAAAAATTGTAATAAAATACTCGAAAAAATCAATTATTTTCAGTTAAATTTTACAAAATTTCAATTATTGAAAAATTTTTTAATTGTATATTTTAAAAATTTAATTAGAAAAATCATTCAAAAATAATTTTTGAAAGATCTGTCTGTAGTTATACTTTTTACATTAAAAAAATCGAAATAAATTGCCAAAAAATATATAAAATAAACAAAAAAATTTGGTTTTTGTGGCAAAACTTGGAAGAAAAGTCGAAGATGTCGCAATTTTTGAAAATAGTCGAAAAAAGTCGAAAAAAAGTAGGATTTTTTTGAAAATAGTCGAAAAAGTCATAACATCCGAGGCCTGTAAATGTCAAAATTTGTCTCAAGTGAAATTATAATTGATTTTAAAATTTTCATATGAAATTAATATCATAATACTAATAATGAATTAATTTAATAAATTATAAATGATTACGAATATTGTACTAAAATTTAAATAAACGAGTAAATATGATTGTAAATAAATTAATTAATATTAATTAATTATAAATTACTCACATTTGATTTATTGGAAAAATCGTCTTAGCATATATTGTGATAGATAGGCAAACACTGTGTAATTTTTAAATTTATTGAAACTCTGTTATTTACCATTTAAGGCTCCTGAAAAATAATAAACCCAGTAAATATAAAGAAACTTTTGTTAACGTTTTGTATACAAACATCGAAGGTTAGAGTAGGCAATTCTTTGAAAATTTTTACTGGGCAGCATATTTTCCCGCTAGAAATCAAATTTATTTTTAACAATTAATATTAATTATCCTGAAATAGTAAATCATTAATAATAAATTGTATACAAAATAATATAAATTATATACGATTATAGTTTTGAATTATAATAAAAATATAAATAAGATGAAAAAAATATGAACAAGTTATAAATAATAAGATAAATTTACTTATTTTATAGTCTTATTTATTTACATAAGCTACACGAGATATTCTCAATTGAAGGCAAATTAATCTATATAAAAGATTATAAATTAAATGTAGTGTTATATTTTTATCTCCTGTCCGTTTTTCCAACACCGCGCTTTCCAGCGAAAAGATGCTTAGGCATCTTATTTCCAATGAAACGATCGGCTTCACCTTTAAGACCCTTCTTTTTAACTTTCTTTGAAATCGCTTTGTGAGCAATATTCTTAAGTTTTGTTTTCATCTGCAAAAAATTTACATTGTTTATATTATTCCCTTTTTACCGAGCAAAACCATAAAAAAAATATATAGAAAAGAATAATAAAAAAGATAAGAACAAAGAAAATTTACATCGTTTGCAAAAAAATGTCTATAAAATTTTACAAAAATAAAATTTTATATAATTTTATATTTTATCTATAAAATTTTTTTAATTAGTACCCATAGGTTATAAGTACTTCTGTACGAAAGGGATTTTCCCGTGTAAATTAAATTAAATTAAATTAAATTAAATTAAAATTGTAAAAGAAAAATACTTACAACAACATCCTTTACTCCCATTTCATCTCTCGGTTGTCTGGAGACACTGCGATTTCTTGACGCTGAAACATCTACACGTCGACGTTTAGCATCGGGTTCAGAAATCGACCTCGCACGTTTTTTCGTTTTTGTAAAGTGAGCCTGAAAGAAATTTTTGTTAAAAGATTTTTTACATTTTCTTGAAAGAAAGAATTTTTTTTTATTAGTGGAGCTTATTTTTTACTAGTGAAAGAAATTTTTCTTTTAATAGAAGGAAAATTTTGAATTTGAATAATCAAAAGAAACAATTTACGTCTTCTGTGTCTTCCATGTCGACTCCGAGTTCTCCAAGTTCCTGTCTCAATCTTGTCACAGATCGACCTCGAACCTTAGCACCGGCAGTACGGGGCATAACTGGTTTTGTAGAAGCCTTGTTAATTCGCGATTCATCTTTAATAACCACTTGTTTCTCTCGAATTTGTTTCGCTAATTCATAAATTTCCTGCATTTGTTCACTTAATACTGGAACCTTATGATCATAGAAACCGCTTTCGAATCTAATCTCTTCTTCTTTCTCGATCTCGTTCAATTTCTGTCGATAACAAAATTATTTATTATTGACACATTTTCATTCTGATTTATTAGTATATTTTCAATTTTGAATAAATATGTATATAAAAATAAAAAATAAAAAAGAAAATTCATAGAGGAAAAAATAAAAAGATCATGAAGAATAAAAATAAAAAATAAGTCGTCGAGTAGAAGAAAATAAAAATATAAATAAAATTCAGAAAACAGAGATGAATTTAAAGAAATATTGAAAAAATGGACAAACCTCAAAAATATCGGGATCAATATAATCCGCAATATTGTGACCTTCCCACATTTCGGGGATAATATCGAACTTCTGTTCTCCCTCGATGTCGTAATTCTTTTTGAGATCGAGAACATAATCATCGCCCAATTCCTCTTCGATTTCGCGCTCCAATTTTCGTTTTCTCTCAGCTTTCTCAGCGGCTGCTTGCTTCTTCTTAAGAACGGACTCAGGTATGCAAGGAGCTCGAACCTTGTTATCCCTAGGCACTGGTTGAGTAACGTGTAAACGATTCAATAAGCCTTCAACCTAGAAAATATATTTCAAAAATATATAAAAAAAGAAGAACAATTTAATTAATAATTAATTGAAATAAATTGAATACAAATTAGATAGAAAAAAAATTAAATCTAATTATATTAATTATTCTAAATATTGTAATTAACTCACCTTTTTAGTTTTGATCTTTTGATCCACACGATAAGCCAAAAGTCTCTCACAGGCTTCAGTTTTCACATCCATGACGCCAAAATCAGTGACGGTACTCATTTCAATGAACGGAATATTCTCATCTTCTTCAAGTTGTTTTACAATAGCTCTTTTTTCCGCAGAGAGATCATTTAGACGTAAGACGTCTACTTTATTTATCACACAAACGAGTGGTTTATTTGTAAAGAACACCTTTATTGAATCGAAGAGTTTCATCTAAGAATAAATGTGTTTTTCTATTATTTTTTTATCATTCATAAATAGAGTTTTTTCTGAATTAAATAAATTTTCAGAAATATATTTCAATTTCATTTCAAAGAAATTAAAAAAAATTTAATAATTATTTACTTAACAAGTAACGTTAATTACCTTTCTTCGAGGGAATATAATTTAAATTATAATAACCTTGCGTATTCTTTCAAGTCTAATTCTCTTCTTCGCAAATATTTAAAAATTCTTCATAAAGCCACACGTTGACACATTTCAAACACACAGACAGGCACGCAAAAAATTCTTTCTTTTCAAAAATTGTATTAAAAAATATATAAAATTATAATCAGGGTGGTCACAAGTTCCCTGACAATTTACTGACATTAAAATCAATTTTTCTGACAAAATTTTCTTTATAGGAAAATATGAATGTTCACGGAAAATGAGTAAAATTTATGAATTTTAATAAATTCTAAAAATTACGATTATAATCCTTCCTGAATTCAATTATTTTCTACAATTTTTAACTAAACTTCGTCTCTGAATCAATTAATTTAAATAGTTTACCAAAAATTCTTCTAGAATTTAATTATTTAAATAATTTCTAAAAGATAATAGTTTTTCAAATTTTGAAAAAATTTCCAAAAAATTAAAATTTGGTAAAATTTTTTAAAAATAATTGAATTTTTGAAAACTATAAATAAAAATTATCAAATTTTTGAAAACTTTTAAATTATAAACTGAACCATGATTTCTTAAAAATTTAAATAAGTCCAAAAAGTAAATTTTCATAAACTTTTATTTATTTTGTTCGAAGATAATTAAATGTTAAAAAATTATTATAAAACAATTCTAATAATTAGTTTTTAAAAATATTTCCATGTAATTTTTCGAAAATAATTGAATTTCCCTGACTTTACTGACATGTGACCACCTCTGATAATTAAAAAATTGATTTTTCTAATTATAGTTCACATGAAATAATTTGAAAGAAAAAATTTTGAAAATTAAAAGCACTTCATACAAATAAACTGTAACTTTCATTTCTTAAACAGTTTTTCTTCTCATTCTTCTTCTTCTTCTCTCAAAAACTGTTGACCACTGACCACAAGTTTCGCTCAAGCAAGAAATTATAAAAAATAGGCTTTTAACGCAAAAAACGAAAAAAACTTTTTGTTAAAAATATATTGTAATCCGTATTCATAAATATTCGAATGAATATTTTAAAATTCAACTGAATTTTTAAAAGCATAAAAATAAAAAGAAAGAAAATATCTTTCAAAAAAATGATTTTCTTACTTGTTCTTCCAATGAATGACCACATTGTTCTGAAATATCGAAGAAATAGAGAACGGCAGCACGCAAATGAGCGAGAGCTGCAACTGCTTGCATTTCGATAACATTTCTCTCTTCGACGGGATGATCCAAAATTCCAGGAGTATCAATCACTTGCCAACGTAAGTATTTATAATCCGTGTGTCCTACATACAACGATTTTGTTGTAAAGGCATAAGGCTGAACTTCAACATCGGCTCGAGTTATCTGAAATTAATTGCAAATAATTAAACACAGAACAAATTAATTGAATTTCGATTAATCATTAAATTATCAAATAATTAATTCCTTTAAACAATTAACTAACTTTGTTTATAAAACTACTTTTTCCAACATTGGGAAATCCGCAGATTATTATCGTTCGAGTAAAAGGATCTATGCTCGGCAATCGAGCCAAATGCTGTCTAACTTGCTCTAAATAAGTCAAATTGTTGGCTTGCTTCTTCATAATTGTGGCCATTCGCCCCAATGCTGCTTTCTTTAATTGTTTACATCGGTACAAGGAGTCTCCGTACTTTAAAAGACGAACGTAGTCTTTTGCAACGCTAAAAAACGCAAATAGAATTAAATGTTAATTCACAATATAAAATTAAATTAAAAATAGAATTAAAAATACATCTTCAATATTGAATTTATTTAGCTAAGTTTATATAGTGAAATTATAATAATATAATTATTAATATTGCTATATTAAAATACCCTTTTTAAAACATACTTATCAACTAAATGTCTCGCTGTATTCATTTGACCAAGGGCCAATTTGTAATGATCCTTGTCATACAAAACATTCATTAAATCCGCATAGAATGGATGCACTTCGTCTAATTTTGGAAACTCCTGAACAATTTGTGAAAGCCGATCATGAAAATTTTGTTGTGTAAATTTTACTTTTCTCGTATAAAATGCACGGATGCGGGATATTTTGTAATTCTTGTGAATTACAGTTGGAGTCTTTCGTTGTGTTTTTGATAATATAATATCAATGAAGTCCTAAAAGAAATTTTTATATTAAAATACATATTGATAAAACTAGATAAACATGTAAGAAAATTAAAAAAACAATAACTTTTATACACTTTGTAGGTTATGCCATACATTTTTAGGTTAGGACTGTCAAACAATTTTAACAAAAACATAATTTGTGTTTTTTTGTTTTAAACGTGTTAAAAAACATACGTGAAGAAAGTATATAATAAATAATAGTAAAACATTAAAATAATAATGTAAAATGAATGAAACAAAAATAAAGAATTAAAAACCACGTGGGGCTCATTGAGCCACGTTCTGACATGAAATATTGTTAATTTAAAAATAAACAAATTACTCACTTTTGCTGTTGGAACAACAGCGATCTTTTTGAAATTGTACATCACCATTTTGCTTAATTAATATAACACTTTTCTTTAAAAATAATGTAAAAATTTAATACACTTTTCTGAAAACCTGTGTGGACAAACACATGAACCACATGAATGTCACGCTCAGTGTTGCCACACTGAGAAAAGCAGGTAAATATTGCAGTGTTGCCAACTTTTTCTTGCTTGCGTCAGACAAAAAGGCGCGCTTTTCTAATAGATTTAGATTAATTAATTAATGAATTTAGTTTTATATAATTAATTTTTGCTATTATTTATTATTAATTAATCGGAAAATTATAACTAATGATCAATAATAAATTTTACAGTTAAGAATGGACTATATTGTATTCTAACGTTTTATTATATTAGAGCGATTTAAATAAGCGCGGTTTTTTCTACCAATAGGAGAGTTTTTGTGACGCAAAAGTTGACACTCACCACCGATGGCGCTGGCTGTTCAGTGAGACGATATTTTGTTAACATAACAAAAATTTAATTATAGAGATTAAAATAAACAAGAAAAATAGCGCTAATTACTTAAAAGTATTTACATAGAGGGTGGTAGGGGGTTTAAATTTCGAAAAAAATTCTCATTACAGTTGTGAACGCCCCTTAATATCGGCCATGTACAACTAGCGCCACGGTGCGGTCGCCAGTCAACAATCGTGCCATCGCCGGAGTGTTGGCATCTCTGCAAAGTTTTGAGATTCAGACAAGTGATTATTTAATTCAAAGAAACACGTTAACCTGGTTTTTATTATTAAATTGTAAATTATTAAGTATTTTTATTATATTAAGTGAATTTTGTTCAGTTTTTTGTTAGTTTCACTAAATTGATTTGCTTTGTTAAGAGTGAACAAGTAGAAACAGGTAGTTCGAGTCTGTGCAAAATAAGTGATTTTAAGTGAAGAAAGGCATGAAAGAACAGGTCATTTTTGTTAATAACTATTAATATTGTTACACATTTAACAAATTCGATGTCAATTTGACTTGCAATGCATAAAGAAAATTCATGTTTCCCGAGTGTTGCTCTGTTCTTTTCTGTGAAAATGTCTATATCAGAAGTGAGTGTTTGCCGGTATACAGAAATTTATTTCAAGGAAAATTCGCCGGAATGCAAGTCCACGTGGTGAAAAATTGTAAGTTTTCGTACTTTTTTCGGATATTACAATAACTTTGTGAATTATTTGTGACGCAACAGCGGAGAAGGGGATCTAAGATGCAAAATTTTATAGGTTATGTTCGCTACATTGTTTTGTTGTATTTTGTGCGAAAATGCATAGTGTCTCTATTGAAACGATTCAAACTAATAATGTTTAAGAATTTTAATGATTAAAAAATCCTTTATTCATCGTAAATACTCGTAAACATAACCTATAAATTTTTGCCAATTACTAAATATATTTATCGTAAACTAGAAATAGTTTTTAGTCAAATTATTGAATTTTGTTAATTAAAATTTCTGTATAATTTAATTACTAATTTTAATTATTTACAGGGAGGTAGGAGTTATTATAACTTAACAAAATCTATTCTGACGTTAGAATATCCAAGTGAGTTTTTTTTCTTATTACATTTCGTTTTTAATTCCACCATGAATGTTTATAAACAAAAATGAAATTTTCCTTAAAAAATTTATCGATTTTTTAAAAAACCAATCGATCACTAGATATAAATTCTACTACTGCGGTTGAATATTAAGAATGACAAATGAATTTTACGTTAGTCATTCTAATTTTAAACGTTCCAATAAATTACAATGAATATTTCCTTTTTTTGCGGAAAAATTGAGTTATGAAATATTTAGCCTTCTGAATAATGTTATTCACTCGAACATTAATGTCAATTAAATTATCTCTTTATTCAAATTTATTAAATTTAATAATAATAAATTAATATTAATTTATGAAAAATCAATATTTAAAATAAACTTTTCGAATAAATTTATTCGAAACAAAAATTAACTTATAATTCAAAATTTTTATTAATATTCAAAAACAATGAAAAGCAATAAGCATCAAACAATTATTGCTCTTTAATTAAATAATAATGAATCATTATTTAATTAATGAGCAAGAATTGGATTAAGATTGAAAGGTATTATTGAACTAGTGTGATATATTAGATTAATTTAAAACGTCATTTAGATATTAACAGTATTTTTGGCAATTACATAAAAAAAATAAAAACGAGTGAATAAATATTTTCATATAGATTACACGTGTTACGCGTTATGCCAACGAACTCTATTAAATATTTAATATTCAGTGTTGCTCATCGTGTTTTCTCACTTTTTTTTCCTTTTTTAATTTGTTTATATGTGAAAGTGCTAAAATTGCGTAGTAGTTGATATAATATTATCAGAACTTAAAGTGGGTATATGCAGATTATTCTCGCATTTTGCTTTTAAATGGCATAAATTATGCATAAACAAGATAATCATCATTATTGTTTGGTTATTATCAATATCTTAGGCGCCACGAGTATTATTTATTTAAAGATGATGATAATACACCTGAAAATTACACTTTAATATTATTAGATCATAATTTTGTTTACAAATCAATGTAAAGGGAAAAAATTAATTCTGCTGAAAATATAATCCGCTTTTTCTCTATTGAAATTAAAATTATATAATTAATGTTCAATAAATATAAATATTTATTTGAATAAAATCAATATTTTTGAGTTAAACATAAATTATTCAAATTAATTTAGTTTGAATTAATTTAATATTTTAATTAATTTAGTAAAATTTACTATTGTTAATAAATAATTATTACTTCAGTAATAATTATTTTTTTCAATAAATTTAAATATTGCAAATAAGTTTATAAATATTAATTAACAATATTAAATAAATTAATACTTAAATAATAAAATTACAATAAAATAAAATTAATATTAATAAATTAATACGTTAATACTAAATAATCAAATGTTTATTAATAATAGTATAATTATTATTTACTATTAATAATTAAAGCGATTATTCAAGAAAATAATTTTCCTTTTTAAATTCAAATTAATATTTTATTAGTAGCAAAGAAAATTTGATTCCGGTAATAACTAATTTATTTTATAAATAAATAAATGTCTTCACTGAATTATTTTCGAATTATTCTTTCCCGAGAAAAAAATCTATAAACTCGATGTTTTTTTATAGAAAAAAAATAATAACTTGTTTATTGTAATAATTTAACTTTTTTGTCGTCTTACGTTGAATTTTTAACAAAAAAAAAGAGAGAAAAATTAAATTCTCTGATGCACTTAAATTGATTGAGTTGTTTTCATCTATATATTAAATATTTATAGTTTGTAAAGGAAAAATAGTATATTTAGACGCGGATTTAAATGAAATATAATTTCATTAAATTTACATATTGTAGGAATGATGCTTTTCACATTATTATACATATAAGTACGACAGGGAGAGAGAGAAAGAGAGACAGAGACAATTTATCGAATACGATAAGAAAATTGTGTGCTAAAATTGGAATATCAATAATTTTGTTAAATCATTATTATTATTATTATTATTATTATTATTATTATTATTATTATTATTATTATTATTATTATTATTATTATTATTATTATTGCGATCCTTTTTCAATAAATTGATTTACACAAGAATTACTTGATTTAACGAGATAAATATAAATTATATTGTTGAAAACAATTAACGATAATAACTACTGTAAGATTATTTTCAATTTCAGTGTAGCGTGCAAAATATAATTTCTACAGTTTAAATTACATACTTTAACTAATTTAAATTATCTTTGATTAATTTCAATTAAATTAAAACTTTATTTTTTTGTGTAATTTTATCAATTTTTGATTAATTGAAATTTATTAATTATAATTATCATAAAAATTTTGATATTATCTCAATGAATGATTAAAATGGACTTTTTTCATTTAATTTTAATCTTCAATGCAGATTTAATTAAACAATTTTTTTTATGTCAAAGGGTTAATTGATTTTTAAATTAAAATAAAAATATCTTTGAATAAGTTAAATTTGTGGATTAAAAATTAAATTTAAGAGCCGGAAATTCGATCGTCATTAAAATAATACCAAATTAGAGAACAAAAATTATAATTAATAATTTATAGGTCAATTTGTAATAATATTAAAAATAATAATAATAATAGAAATAATAATATTATTATTTATTATTGAAAAATTATTAATATAAATTAAATAATAAATGCAAATGACTTGTAGATATTTTGGGAGGAAATCAATTTACTAAACGGATTTTCTAGCAAAGAATTGTAAACAAATGCAAAGAAGTATAACACAAATAAAGGAATTTATAATGTTTCTTGACAAAAATAAATTTTGATTGTATAGAGATAAAAAAAATTCTAGATAAGAAAAGTCATTAATAAAATCAAGTAGGTATAATAAAAAATTTTTTTCGATAACGTTATTAATAAATGTAAATTATCTAAGAAATTTTTCACATTTTTTTAATATACAATATAGAAAAATGTTAATTATTTGAAAAATGTTTTGTACGAAAAAATTTTCTTTTTCAATTATTAAATTTAGAAAATATTTAAAAATTATTTATTAAAATTATTTAAAATTTAATTTTAAAAATCGTTTTTCGAAAATAGTTAATAGAAATCTTGATTCTTTTAAATCGTTTGTTTCTATTAAATGGGGTGCGTCAGTAAACGTCATTACGTCATAGGTTGCGTGTATGAAAACCACTGATTAAGGTGAACATACTTCGTTTTACACTGCATGCCAATGCTCATATATATTTCATATGCAAGTTTATACGTCAGAAATATCAGTATTTTTGCACGTGCTTTTCAAAAAATCAGATTTTACTATTACTCCACATATTTATTTTTATTTTTCTTCACGATTTTGTACTCGATTTTATACACGTTATTTAAATGATAAACAAAAATATTTTTGTAAATCAAACTTTTTCTTTCGATTGACTTGAAAAATAATTTTTTTTATCTCAATTGCAGAGGTTTTATTAATTTGACATAAAATGTTTTTGTTGACTCGATTTCAAATTTTTAAAAAAGTATTTAGATTTTAATTAAAAAAAAAAAAGAAAGTAACTTTTGTTTTTATCTTGAAATTTGCACAGT